AGTATCCCTCCCCAGCTCTAGCCTAGGGGAACGCTTTACCAAGACCTCCTAGTGGATGTTTGAAACCAATAACAACAACCCCAAGTCCTACGCATACTAAGTTTTCCCTACGCACACCTGTGAGAGAGTTGAATTTATAAACTAGACACACTAGAAGCTAGACAGCCACAACCCACACAGATGGGTGTGGATAATAGAGAGCGCTGCTCAGTGACAGCAGAAGAGTAGAAGTGGGTGGAGGGAGACCCAAGCCCACGGTCAGGAGAGTCCACCCTTTGAAGCCAGCTCCAGCAGCAAGTGTGGCTGAATCATTTCCTTCTTGTCAGCCACCCCCCATGCTTGCTTTAGTGATACCAGTCTCAGCGCCAAGGCAGCTAGCAGTGCATGGAGCAAGTCCCTAGCATTTCCTATAGAATGTGTTCTGTTGTCCAGAAAGGCCTCTGCTGGATATGGGAAAGTTTCATTTCAGTGAGAGTGATTCTACACTCCTCTCAAAGGTCTTGTCTCTGGGGCTGGAGAGATAGTTCAGCAGTTAAGAGCACTTGCTGTTCTTGCAGAGAACCCAGGTTTCTAGCACCAAAATGGCAGCTCATAACAGTCTGTAGTTACAGGTCTAGGAGATCTGATACCCTCTTCTGGCCTCTGAACACATTACACACATGTGATATATTTACATACATGCAAACAAAACACTCAAGTACATAAAGAAGTAATTTTTTAAGAAAGGATCTTGGGGGACTGGAGAGATGGCTCAGCAGTTAAGAGCACTGACTGCTCTTGTAGAGGACCTGGGTTTGATTCCCAGCACCCACATGGCAGCTAATAACTGCCCATGTAACTCTAGTTCCAAGGGATCTGATGCCCTCTTCTGACCTCAGTGGGAACTGCATGACATGAGTGCACTTACATATACATGCAGGCAATACATTCATATGCATAAAGAAAATAAAAACAGTTAAGAAAAGGATCTTGCCTCTGTGAAGCTGGGTTTGGAGGTGGTTGCTACAATTAAAAGCAAGGACAACATGCACATCAGCCTGGAAAGAGACATGATGGTTATGCTTTTGGTGGGTGGGAAACTGCAGTTTTTTAAAAAATATTTTTTTATGGGGCTGGAGGGATGGCTCAGCGGTTACGAACACTGGTTGTTCTTGCAGAAGACCCAGGTTTGAATCCCAGCACCCATATGGGAGCTAACAACTGTCTGTAACTCCAGTTCCAGGGGATCTGGTGGCCTCTTCTGTTCTCCATGGGTATTGCATGACACATGTGCACTTATCTACACACAGGCAATACACTCATACACATAAAATAAAAATAATAAATAAAAATATTTATTTATTATTTTTATTTTATGTATATGCATGTATTGCGTGCATGTAGGTAAGTGCACCCGTGTCATGCAATGCCTGTGGAGGACAGAAAACACTGTTGGATCCCTTGGAATTGGAGTTACAGACAGTCTGCCATGTGGGTGCTGGAATTTGAACCCGGGTCTTCTGCAAGAACAGTGTTCTTAACCGCTGAGCCATCTCTCCAGCCCCAAAACTGCAGTTTTTTGAGAATGAAATTAAAGTATCATGTGTTGGCTTGGGGTGTGGCTCAGTGACAGAGTGCTTGCATGCAAATCCCTGAGTTTGGTCCCCATCATCACTCACATAAACACACACACACACACACACACACACACACACACAAACACACATGCACACACACAAACACATACAATGCTGTGCAATTCTTTCAATCTATGTGAATTTTTTTTGTAAGTAACCACTGATCATTAAGCTGTTGGGACCTAATTACTTAATACACAAAGCCATTAGATATTTCTTTTAGCCTGGGCACAGGGAAAACTTTGTAACCTTCTGTCCTTGTGCTCAGAGGACCCACTCCTGTTGCAAAGTTCAAGGGAGGGACATCACATGGACTATCAGGAAAGTTTCTAGAAGAAACTAAACATTGACAGGCTGCAGGGTAGGAATGGAGGGGTTGCTTTTCTGCCCTGGGGTCCCCCCTGCTTGCCCACTGTGCCTTCTGTTACAACAGAAATGTTCTTACCTCCAGGATCACCCATACATGCAGTATCTTGTCTCATCAAAATTGTGGTCAGTCCCTTGAGGCTCAGCTTCGAAGTGGTCACCATAGAGAAGCTCTCTTAAATACCCTCAGCTACTGCAGCCCCTTCACAACACTGGCTCCTGAGGTGTTACCTATATTTCTGTCCCACCCTGTTTGAACTCTCTCCATTGTGTCTGACCAGTGGAAAGGTCTGTGGGAAAGGAACTTGGTCTCACCTTCCAGCGTCCACAATGCACTCACTAAATGCCCACTCCTGTGTCCAAGATTCAGACTATTCTGTTCCTAAATGTTTGGTCTGGCTAGGCACACTGGCTGATGAGGGACAGCTCCTTCTGCGACAGCAGAGGGCGCTCGCAGGAACATCCGGACCCCCAGACAGGTAGAGAACCACAGGCAAAAGCAGACAGTGCTTTTTTTTTTTCCACAAACTCTGAGTGAGCTTGGCACAGGGTCCTTGGAAGGCTAGTGATCCCTCAATATCCTGCCACCAATCTGGGGATCCAGAGTGCCCTGACTCCCCTCCTCTCTGCTCTCCCCCTTCCTTTAGCCTAGCCAGAACTGGCTCTGCAGGGGTGAACACAACTTCAGGGAGTTAAGGAAGAGCCCCTCCCTGCACTGTCTTGGAAGCCCCCAGCCCAGCAACAACTCCCACCTGCCCTGACTCAATCCGCTGCACTGTCCTGAAGGCATGTTGTGATGATCCAAGTTTCTAGTGAAGGCTCAGCAAGACAGAGCCCTCATTTATGAAAATGGATGGGGACAGAGATCAGTTTCCACCTGGGCTTTCAGCTCTGGCTCCTCCAGTGCTGATAGGAGGGGGCTACCAGCCCTTTGGTGCCCACCACCCACAAGTAGGATGCTGGTGGCCTCGTGAGGAAGATGGAAGAAACTAAGGAGACCGGAAAGACTTTGCAGGCCAAGGGGTAGGAGTGGGAGTCTGAGAAGGCAGCGCCTATATGCTCATGTGGTGGGATCTGTACTAGGTCCATGGAAAACAAAGGTGTGTCCTGCTGGTGCTTACTTAAAGCCACTCTTCTTTGTGTCTGGAGAGCCAGCAGCCTCTGGAGTGTGCCTCACCATGGCTCTGATCCCTAAGTACCTGGGTACTGGGGAGGTGGAAGTGCTGGGTGCCTGGCCACCTCAGGCCCCCCACCCCATCCAGAGCCCAGGTTCCCCCAGTAATGCGATAATTGGGTGGGATTTTCACTGAGAGAGAGGGAAAGTCCAGAGTACTGATGAGCTAGTTCCTCTCCCTCCCTGCCTCATCCCAGAGTTCTTCTCTGCTTCCCTCTGAGGGTGGGGGACAAGTAGTGACTCAGAGGAGGGAGGATGGACAGGGGCCAGGCTTGCTTAGACTAAGCAGATTCACAAGGTGGTATGGAGAAAAGGGAACTTATGTTGAAGGAGAATGGGTCTCACTCTGAATTCTGATCACCTGATGCTTTCTACCAAGTAACTCCTAGAGCAAGGGTCCATAGGACACACCACACAATCCCTTTATGGATAGTAAACCAAGCTGGACACAGGGCTAGGGGTGGAGAGCAAACCTGTCTGTCTCCAGTCTATGTTAAACTCACAGGGACAGCTGGGCCATCCCCTGGTCCCAGAAGCAGTCTTGTCTGGGCAGGTCCCCTGTACCAGAGACCTCTTCATACCATCCCCCTCCAAGGACAAAGGTGAGGTAGAGCTCAAGGTCAGGGGCTCTAGAAGTGGACAGTATACACCATTAACAAGCCTGAAACTTGCATGGAACCAATCCCTGGTGGGAGGGTGCCTCTTGTTAGGAAGCTGGGGTACCTCTAGACGTGGACCCCCCCACACACACACCAAAATCACAGAACTCTTTGGCTGCAAATGGCCCCTGCACTGAGGAATTCCCAGTTAGTGTGTTGACCTTCGAAAATTCACTTTCCCTTCCTTCTCCATCAGCAAAATTATAGTTTGCCAAAATTGTCAGAATTCTTTCTGCTGAAGAGGCCACTGCCTTGAACAGATCTAGAGTCTTGGTTCTAGAACCGGTTACCAAGAGCTGCAACTTCCCTTCCCATGGGCACCACACTGCTCTGGGCTTCGTTGTCCTCTTCCTCGGTTAGATATGAGGGAGAGAATGGAGGGTCAATCCTCTTGCCTCAGACAGCACCCTACTCCCCTATGGCTACCTGCCCACAGAACTGGGATATAGCCCCTGCTCTGGGCTGGGATGAGGCTTTGGCAGACCCACAAGGCATGGCCTGAGGGATTCTTCTCCGACAGACATTACCCATGCCTGCCAACAAGGTGACAGACGAGAACAGCTTCAACTCCGCTACCATAAGAGCAAGAGACAGATCGCGGCAGAACAGGCACGCGGGGGGTTGGGGAGTGCGTGTTCTGCCCTGGGACTGGAAACCCAGGTCCTGGCTCAATAGCCCCTGAGAAGAACCCGCACGGAGTCCTAAGAGTACCCAGCGCGACTCCCAGCTGGCATAGCTCGGCCCTGTAAGGCCATTCACCAGTCACACCAGCACCTCATGCACACCTGGGCATCCAACACCCTGCGCACCCAGGGCGCGCATCTGCACACTCGCAGCAATACGCACATACCCGCAGCATCTCGTCCCCCGCGCGCACCCCAGCACTGGACTATGAACACCTATGCATTCGGGCACCCCGCACACACCGCAACACCTCACCCCGGCACCCCGCGCACCCACGGCTGCAGGAGGGGCCAGCGCCGCGAGGCTCCAACCCCCAGGGCCCAGCCCACCCCCTACC